CTAACTAGGAACAACTGTAAACAAACTTCCTAAATACTAGGACAACTCCTTAACTTTTCCAACAATCCCACCCTTAAACTGATGTTTCAACATTAAGTTTTCTAAAGGTATCCAAAGTGCAAACACCAAGCATTTTTCTTAGCTTCTGAAACGCAGGAAACTTTAGAGACTTTGTTAAAATATCAACAACTTGGTCTTCGCTTCTGCAGTAAATTAGATCAATGACTCCATCATTTGTTAGATCCCTCAAGAAATGATACTTCTCGTCTATATGTTTGCTTCGACCATGTAGAACAGGATTTCTTGACAGCTTTATTGTTGAAGTGTTGTCGCAATAAATTAGAGTAGGCTTGTCTTCCTTGGACTCTAGTTCTTTGAGAATCTTCTTTAGCCAAATAGCTTGACAAGCACAAGTTGTTGCAGCAACAAATTCAACTTCTGTAGTTGATAAAGTCATGATTGATTGCTTCCTTGGTGACCATGAAACTGCTCTTGTCCCTATCATGAATAGATATGTGCTTTTTCGATCATTTGAATCTCCTGCATAATCACTATTTGTGAAGCCATATAAATTTGATTTTTCTTCCTTCTTGTAGAACAACCCAAACTCCTTAGTACCTTGCAAGTACCGAAAAATTCTTTTTGCAGCCAAGAGATGAATCTCTGTAGGACACTCTATGTACCTACTAATGACTCCTACAACATGCATTATATGAGGCCTTGTTGCAGTCAAATACATTAAACCCCCCACAATCTGCTTGTAAAGAGTGTTGTCGACCTTCATTTCTCTATTATCTTTGTTTAGCTTTAAGCCAAACTCAGATGGTGTATTCACAAGATTACAATCCTTTATCTGGAATCTGTCCAAGATTTCTCCCACATACTTCTTTTGAGAAATAAAAATTCTCATAGATGACTGCACTACTTCAATACCAAGATAATAATGCATCATTCCAAGATCAGACATCTCAAATTCAACCATCATGGATTTCTTAAAACTTTCAAACATGGCTGTATTACTTCCAGTATAAATTAAATCATCTACATATAAGCAAACAATGAGCATGTTCCCTCCATCTTCAATTTTTATGAAAAGTGTATGTTCATAAGAACATTTTTGGAATCCTTCCTTCAAAAAATAAGTCTCTATACGATTATACCAAGCCCGTGGAGCTTGTTTTGATCCATATAAAGTCTTTTTTAACCTATACACTTTATGCTCATTGCCAAGTTTTACATAACCAGGAGGTTGATCAATGAATACCTCTTCTTTCAAATCTCCCTGAAGGAATGTCGATTTCACATCCAATTGGAAAATAGGCCATGAGTTTTGAGCTGCCAATGCAATCACCAATCTGATTGTGTCATGCCTTGCAACTGGAGCAAAGACTTCTTTGTAATCAACACCGAACTCTTTCTTGCAACCCTTAGCTACGAAGTGAGCCTTGTACTTGTCAACTTCACCATTCTCCTTCAGCTTTGTCTCGTAAACCCACTTTACACCAATTGTTTTGTGTCCTTCTGGAAGATCAGATAACTCCTATGTATCATTTTTTTTGATGGCTGTAATTTCTTCATCCATAGCCTTCCACCGTTTTGATTTTTTGACAGCACTTTCAAAAACTGTAAGATCACAGTCCAAAAATAGAGCAAAGTGAGTGAGTGTGTCTTTAGATTGATCAATTCTGGTTACCTCATAGTCCGACATCCATGCTAGTCTTCTTCTGGCACGTTGAGGTTGTTCCTCTTCTTCAGTGGTTGCTGGAAGTGGCTGTTGTTCATTCTCCACTAGCTGTTGCCTTCCATCTTCATTCTCTCCATCAAAATCAGTAGGAATCTGTTGTTGAACACCATCTTTGTTCCATGGCCAGAACTTCTCTTCATCAAAAACAATATCTTGACTGATAATGATTTTCTTGGTGCTAGGATTGTATAGCTTATAAGCTTTTGATTGATCACTAATATCAAGGAAAATGCATTTTTCTCTCTTATCAGCTAGCTTTCTCCTCTTCTCGTTTGGAATATGGGCATATGCAACACACCCAAAAATTCTGAAGTGATCAATCAACTAGACCAAAGTCAGCAGACAAGTCCAATGTTGAATGCTATAGATGTCATATGTATGGCCATTATCAGTCGAATTGTCGAACTAATTTGAGTAGATAAAGTGGAGAAAGAACTAACTTTGCAGAAAAAGAAGAAGAGGTGTCTCTTTTGATGGTGTGTCACGTGAAAGAGGAAACCCATAAGAATCTGTTGTTGAACACCATCTTTGTTCAATGGCCAGAACTTTTCTTCATCAAAAACAACATCTCGACTGATAATGATTTTCTTGGTGCTAGGATTGTATAGCTTATAAGCTTTTGATTGATCACTAACACTAAGGAAAATGTATTTTTCTCCCGTATCATCTAGCCTTCTCCTTTTCTCGTTTGGAATATGGGCGTATGCAATACACCCAAAAATTCTGAAGTGATCCACCGCCGGTCTTCGTCCGTTTCATGCTTCATCTGGTGTCATATTTTGAACAGCAAGAGTGGGACTTCTGTTCAAAATATGAATACTTCAATTTAATGCTTTAGGCCAAAAACTTTTTGGAACTCCACTTCTTAACAAAAGGCTTCGCACCATATTCATAATAGTGCGCTTTTTCCTCTCACAAATGTCATTTTGCTGGGGCGTATAAGCTACAGTAAATTGCCTCTTGATTCCACGGGTCTCACAAAAATTTTCAAATTCATGTGAGTTATATTCTCCACCACGATCCGTGCAAAGAACTTTTATGAGCTGTCCAACCTCTTTCTCAATAAGTGCTTCAAAGCTTTTAAAGGCTGCAAAAGCTTTAGATTTTTCTTACAAAAAATAGACCCATATCTCCCTGCTATAATCATCAATGAAGGTAATTATGTATCTTTTACCTCCATTAGAACATGGAGTTATTGGCCTGCAAATCTTGGAATGAACAAGCTCCAATGCCTTTTTCGCTCTCCATGATTTCCCTTGTGGAAACTGATTACGATGATGTTTGCTAACAACACATTCTTCACAAACTTCAGAGGGAGCTGTGATTTGAGGAAGACCAATCACCATATCTTTCTGCTGTAGAGTCTTCAATCCACCAAAGTTTAGGTGGCCATAGCGAAAATGCCATAGCCATGCTGCATCCTTCAATTTTGCTGAGAAGTATGAATGAGTGGTGTTGTTGAGATACAATGGAAACATTCGGTTGGCTGTCACGTTAACCTAAGCCACCAAGCCCAATTTTTCATCTTCAATTCTGCAGACTCTGTTTTTTATAGAGACTCCATATCCCTTTTCTTGATGCTGACCAACACTGAGTAAATTTTTTCTCAAATCTAGAACAAAGTGAACATTAGAGATAGTTTGGATGGAGTTTTTGTTGGTTTGAATTGCTACCTTTCCTTTTCCCATAGCAGAGACTTTATAATCATCACCAAACTTCACAACATCACAAAAGGCTTTGTCCAACTCAGAGAATGCAGACTTCTCTCCACACATATGGTTGCTGTAACCCAGTGTCTAAGTACCACAGATTCTTGTGGGTTTCCTCTTTCACATGACACACCATCAAAAAAGACACCTCTTCTGCTTTTTCTGCAAAGTTAGTTCTTTCTCCACTTTGTCCATTCAAATTAGTTCGACAATCCGACTGAAAATGGCCATACCTATGACATCTATAGCATTCAACATTAGACTTGTTTGCTGACTTTGGACTAGTTGATTGATTGCCTCCACATCCTCTTCATTTTCCTTGAAATTGATTCTCTTGGTGATGGTTTTGTTGTTGATTTCCACAATCATTGTTGTCTCTGCCTCCTTTACCGCAACTTCTGCCTCTTTCTCATCCTCTATCAACTCTACTTGGTGTAAAGTGACTTTCAGATAAGGCCTTCAATGTGTGTTCCTCTTTCTCCTGTTGGTTAATTTTTCGCTCATGAACCAACAAAGAACTTCGCAATTCATCAATTAAAAGTTCATTACCATCATTACATTCTTTTATAGAACTAACAAAAAAAATAAATTTTGGTGTCATGGATCGAAGAATTTTCTCAACAATGGTGACGTCCTTTGCCTTGTTACCATAGATTCGCATCTTGTTGACGGTTGCCATTGTTCTTGCCAAATAATCTGCCACCTACTCTCCTGATTTTATTCGAGGCATTTCAAACTCCGAACAAAGTGCTTGAAGCTTTTACATCTTCGCCTTTGTTGTCCCTCGATACGTTTTCTTCATGGAATCCCAAATATGCTTGGAGGTGTCCTTGAAAAGAATTGTTTCCAAGATTGAGCGATCAATAGCTTGAAAAAGATAATTCTTTGCCTTGAGATCTTTCAGCTTTAGTGTTTCAAGCTCTGTCTTCCACGCATCTGTCAGCACAACACCTTCGGCTGGTTTTGCTACTCCAGAAACAACCACCAACCAGTATTCTTTGGACCACAAGAAGTTCTCCATTAGCATGCTCCAATGATCATAGTGACCATAAAAGCAAGGAATGGATGGTTGTACAAAATTTTCTGAAGCCATCAATCTTGTCTACTGCTATAAAAGAAAAACAGGTGATAGAGAAATAGAACTGCTGTTATATCACTCTTTATCTCACTTTTCCACTTGGAGGCTCTAATACCACTGTTACAAAAATGAAGAAGAGAAAGACTTTTACTCACAATAAGAAGAGTGTACTAATTTGCACACTTTATTGATAAACCAAACAACCATTATATAGGCAAGTAAACAAATTGATAGCAATAAGAAAATAGGAACTACTAAAGCATGAAAATAGGAACTGCAATGACTGCATAACAGACTCAACTTACTCCTAAAACTAGGCCAAAGTAGGCCACATACAACAACTAACTATGAACTGCTGTAAACAAACTTTCTAAATACGGGGACAACTCCTTGACTTATCCAACAAACATAAAAACTCAATCAAGAGTAATTGGCAACAAAGTTTAGATTAATGGTTTGAAAAGAGCCCAGACCTTTGGAAAGGGCTCTCCAAAAATTGGCACAGGCCACTTAATTATGGCGTACACAATATTCTTTAGTAAAAGGCAAAAGAATAGTTCGCTTTGTACTCATCGCATGGCTGCGTGCATTCATTTGTCGAATCACCCACCATTATGAACTACTTTCATGGAATACAGTCGGAATTTGTGAGTCGATGTGAGAGGAAGTTTCTCTAACATTGTCAGACTATCTTTGATTTGGACTAGGCTCAGAAAAATAATAGTAATATATACATAACCAATGTATTGAGTATTCGTTTGTGTTTGATTGACAATGAAAACAGTTTGCTAACATAGTGTGTTTGGTTGTCACTTGACAGTGAGAATCCTATCTTAACCACTTTCTTGGAAGAAATATTTTCCTTCAAATGTTATGTATATTCGATTAGGAAAAGGCTTCTTTCCATCCATTAATTAGGTTGGAGGTTTCTGTTGAGAGGGTTGTGAGCTTACTTCAATGATTCAAACTATTCATCTTGTATGATTTATCAAGCAAATTATGTATGCCAAAAATTCAATATGATTAGATATTAGTAATTATATGATTAAATCACAATTTTCTTTAAAAATAGACAATCTATTTTCTTTAAATCACAATTTTCTTTAATTACATAAAATTAAAATAATTTAGATTATTAAATTTATATTATATACATAAGTAATACAATACAAAATATTATATTTTTTATTCACTCATAAATTATAAAGATTGCCAATTATTTAATTTAATGTTATTAATGATTTTCTAAAAAAACATATAGATAGAGTCTAATTTTAACAAATTAATAACAAAAAAAAAAATTGTGTAATTTGGGTTTAACTCGGATCATGCTTGAGTAGATAACCTCGTCTTACAATTCGAGGTTGGTTAGGCCTGAATAAGTCTTAACACAACTTAAATTGTGTTTGGACAACCTCTCAATCCGTCTGAAATCCACCCCTACTGAAGAGAATGGTTCTTGATGGACATAAGAAACCCCCCTCCCCCCCCAAAAAAAAGACAAAAAATTGTTGGGCTTTTTTTTTTTTTTTTTTTTTTTTTGGGAGGGAGGGGGGGCGCATTCGTCTTTGATGCAACTAATCTAAAATTGATGGATCAAACATGGAACTTGTGTTAACAGTCGAATCTATAATCAAAGTGGACACGAATAGAAATGAACGATTACAGCATCCCCTCATTGATACATATTATAAACCCATGTCTCAGTGACGTTTCCTCAGTAATTTGATCTCTAAAGTAATATAAAAATTGTTTGGAAACATGTTAAAAATCTTGAATTAAATAAATTTATATAGAAAAATAATTTAATTAATTCAACACAAAGTTCTCCAAAACTGGAACAACTAAAAAATAAGCAGCTGCTGGAAACAAAATTTAAACTAACAATTTAAAAAGAGCCCAACCCTTTTGGAAAGGACTCTCCAAAAATTAGCGTATGCCACTATTTGCGGCGAGCACACGGTATTCTTTAGTAAAAGGCGAAAGAATAGTTCGCTTTGTGCTCACCACGTGACTACGTGAGTGTTACTGTGAAATCACCCATCCTTATGAATTATTTTCCTGGAACAGAGTTGGGTCTATGAATTGATGTGGGATCAAATTTCTCCAACTTTTCTTTATTTTTGTGTCTTTGATTGGACTAAGTGATACAGTATTAGATTGTCTTTCATTTTGACAAGAAAGTAAAGAAAAATGGAAAGAAAAAAAAAATATTTTGTTACATAATATGTGAATTTGGTTGTCACTAGAAATCATGAATCCTACGATACCGCTTTCTTGAAAACATAATTTCTAACAAATGTTTGGTATGTATCTTGTATTAGATTATGCAAAGCTGAAGTTTTATTTTTTAATTTACTTTCTTTCAAACCATGAGCTTGTGAGAAAATTAATTATTTTTATAGTTACATCAACCTTTGTGAAAATATATAATTAATTTTACAATTTAAGTATAATTATACTGTGCTACTGTGAAATATAAATGTCATAGTGCTTTGGCCCTTACCATTGGTCATTATATCTTTCAATCAAATGTATAGAAAATATGATGATACCATCATTTATTAGATTAAAATATTTATTTTACTCTTCCTTATTTTTATACTTAAAATTAGGTAAATTCTTCAGATAAGAAGGATAATTATGTCATTTGATATCAATACATAAATTCAAAATATTTAGCACTAATATAGCAATTTCATAACACAACGTTACAAGGATATCAATGTAATTTTACCAAATAATAAATTTAGTTGTAATTTATTCATAATTAGAGAGAAGTTACAATTTATCTTTATTTTTATTTTCCTTCTCTTAAATTCTTCTCGAGAATCACTTTGTTGTATCATTTTTCCTATATCTTAACTAAATAGATATCAAAATCACATGTTAAGGTTATGTTTGATTGAACGACTCAACTAGATGAAATTAGCATATGCTTAGAACTCTTTGGATTGTTTGAGATTGGCCTTGTTTGGGAAGTTGGTTATTTGACTTTTTAATTATTTTTGCTAGGGGTGTACACGGGTCGAGTCGGCTTGGTTTTACCACCAAACCATCACTCGAACCGATCTACTTCGGGTGGAGAAGAGTTCATCCGATTTCGACTCATATGATGCTCGAAACCGTGCATGTCGGTTGTTCGGTTTGGCGGATGGTTTTTGGTCGAGTGATTTTCTTCACCATTTTAGTTTAATGGCTTCTGTCTCCCTTACGAAATCACAGAACCAAGCACATACACAAAATCACAATAACATACTATACATATCTACTTTCCTCATATACTATATATGAAAGGAACAATGGATAAAATTTGAAAACAGAGAGGAGATATTTACCTTTCCGCTATGGTACAACGCTACCATCGTCATTACCATACAGCACCGCCGTTCATGTCTTCAACCAACACTCAGTGAACTCCTCTTTCTAATGATTGCCACATGTGCTCTTTCATTTACAACAATCAATGCCCCGTCCATTACTTGAGCCCAGTTTCCGTGAATGCGATTAGATCTGAGAACTCTGTGTATGAGAGTGAAAGACTTTCAGATGAGAGGGATGATGAGAGTATAAAGGAAGTTAGAGAGATTGAGGAACTTTAGGGTTTCTGAGAGAGAGGGAGAAAGAGGAATAGAGAGTCGATGGTTTCTGAAAGAGTGAGGGAGAGAGAGTCGGTGGCATTTGGCTGATAGAGAGAGAAAGAGGGACAGATGGTGATACTGTTGTATCAACAAGGTAAAAGTCTCTTTGCCTTGGGAAGATCAGATAAGCTTATTGATGGAAATTCAAAAAGTGCTTTTTATGAGAGAGAGAAAGAGAAGTATTAATGATGGAATTGAGTAGTAGACTGATGTCTATGACTTTGCCTTGGGAAAGATGAAGTCTATTGGGAACATAATATAAGTCATGAAACACGGTGGTATATATTAATAATAATTATATCGGTCGGTTCGGATGAATCGAATATTTTATTTACAAAATCGTTACTCGACCGAAATTTTAAAAAAAATGATGTACTTCACTCGCAGTCGACCGTGATGTTCATCGAAACCGTCCGTGATTGACACGGGTCGCTCGGGTCAGGTCGGATACGTCAGGTAGTCGGTTATTTGAACACCTCTAATTTTAGCCTTGTGAGACTCCTAACTTTAGTAAATCCTATTAAGTCCCTAAATTTTGAGTTATTATAATAAAAACCCTTACTTCTCCATTTATTCGCAGAATTACACTCTAGAACCGAAACGCATCACGGACAAACCTATACAAACTCTAATCGACCCGGGAAGCTTAGAAATCATTTCTAACGCTATGATATTAATTATTTAACTCTCAAATTTTAAATTAATCCCTCTAAACCTTAACTTCTGGTTTTCATAGTTTTCGTTCGATTATTCACTTTAAATTCAAAGCAAGATAACGCAAACCGAATTATTTTTCCTAACACTAATTTATTAACTCTACACTTGAAATATATATTTTAATTAAGCCCAAGCCCTCACATTTTTATTAAATCACATTTTGACCCAAAACTAGTACCATTACACACGTATACATATATATACACTTGTGCCTTTCTTAAATAAATAATTTTATACACAAAATATCTTCATATATATATATATATATAATCAACAAAAATCTCCCAAAATTCCTTTCACATGGCTAGCCACCTAGGAAAAGAAAAATTGTACACTTTTTCAAACAAAATCTATGAATTCATGCAGAAAGAATTCAAGTACCTCCAAATCATGGAACCATGCCCCCACCCTAAGTTCAATGCTAACAAAATCCTAACTAGATCATGATTAATTGCATAATTAAGACCTCTAATCCCTCACTATTCCATTGAATCCAAATTAAATCCAAACTATCTAATCTAATTCCAACTAATGGGCATTTAAGACCTTTTGTACCAAATTCAAAAACAACCCGTCCCATAGCATTTTACATGCAAGAATACACACATATACACTATATTCAACTGAGAGAGAAGAGAGGAAGGATGGTGAGCTTGGTAGAAGAGAGGAGAGAAAGAAGAAGTTTGTTAGCAATTCTAACAACCCTCAAGTAAGTCACAACACAACTCTCTCTTATTTTTTCCTTTCAAATACATGCTCTTAGAAGTTTTAAACATTCATTTCAGATGTGTTTTGATGGTGTTCTTGTGTTAAAAATGAAAGGAGTTAAGCTTTGATTCTACCTATCTTGTATTTCTCTTAATCGATATAAAGCTACATTTTTCCATATCAATCTCTCAAAATTTTCAAAGGCACACCTTCATCTCAAATTTCTAAGTTTAATACATATTTAGCATGTTTTCATCACAAGAGAAGTGAAAATTTTTTCCTAGTTGACCTCTTTTCTCACCAACTTTCTTATTTCAAGAATTGTGCCAGAGAAATCTGTTTTACAACCAACTTCCAAAAATTCTAGAAAAATGTAGAAAAATCTTCCGAACCTAAATGTTATGTAAAAATCATCCTTAAGGAGTTAGTTTTCAAGGTATAAAGGGTTAGAAATTAAACCCCAAATTAAGTATGGACCTAAGTGCTGAGGTTGCCCTTCTGAGGCGACTAGGAATGA